GTCTAGCTGAAAAAATGTGTGTGTGAGAAAATCTATGTGAATGTCAAACTGTCTGTTTCTCCAAATGGGACTTTCTCTCAATCTGACGATCAATATCAGTATCCATATCCATGCGGGTGTGAAAATTTGCGACATAGTGGAAAATCTACATATTTCATATCACATTTCAGCAGTAGCACTCTCACGCACGGGAGGACTCACACACACGCGGACTCACACTTATAATTATATTCTTTCTGCAATATATACGTTCACACTCTCATATATACACACTCTCTTAGAGAGAGTTATATTCAGGGGTAGATCTATATACATGTGTACCAGTATACATGTTCACTTGTTATATTGCACGTAATTGTAATAGAAAGTGACTATAAAAAAGAAAACATAATCACATTCATACATATTCTCGCTCATTTATTTTTTCTTTAATTATTTATATATACATTTGTATATATATATATATATAGATATATATATATATATATATATATATATATATATATATATATATATATATATATATATATATATATATATATATATATATATATATATATATATATATATATATATATATATATATATATATATATATATATATATATATATGTATATATAATTTTCTTGGCAATGCAATCGAATATATTTCGTAACAAGTTACATGCAGGAAAGCAAAAAAATAATGGGAATGTCGATGTTCGTCGGAGTGGTTTTGCAGATGTTTGTTTTAGTTGCTAATTCTGAAAATTTTCACAGGTGAGTATCATATTATATATATTAATATACATGTATCGAATTGTGTATCTATACATATATAATCTAACGATGACGAGCTTTTTTCTAAAATATATGTAATTGCAGAAAACGCCTTATACAAGACAATATTATTCGAGCAGATTTGCCATCTCTAGGAGTGCAGTTGCTTCAAGATGATGAACATGTATGTAAAACTATAAACATTTTGCGATCGATTATTAATATGTAATTTTTACACGTGGAAAAATATGTTCTAACATTTTAAATAATTAAATGTTTTGCAGGTTGTAATAAGCAATGGAATAGTTAGCATCAGATTAACAGTACCAGGTGGTTCTGTCACTAATATAACTTACAAAGGGAGTGACAATGTACTTTTTCCCGAAAATAATGAAGCGGATAGAGGGTACTTAATTTTACATAATTTTATCATCGATTTATATATATTTCTTAATATAAAATAAAATTGTTAAAATTAATTACATAATAATATTGATGTTGAATAATAATGAAATATTGAACTAATTAATTGACAGGCATTGGGATATTGTTTGGAACAAAACAGCACATGCTGATCAAACTGACAAGTAAGTATACATCACTAAATTATAAATTGCATATGCATAAATAAATATTTTTTTTACCAATTAAGGATTTTTTTTTTGAAATTATCTTTAGTAATTGTGTGTGTGCAGTTTTGTAGGAACAAATTATAAGGTGATAATGCAAAACGAAAATCAGACGGAGATTTCGTTCACCAGAACATGGACCTTCAACAGCACAAAAGCTCCTTTAAACGTCGATAAAAGGTATATAACTATATATTAGTATTAATTACTCCGAAAATCCAAATACAAAAACTTCTTTTTTGTCGAATTAATTCGAAATTACTTAAACATTTGAAAATGTAATATGATGCAGATACGTAATGCTAAAAGACTCCCCTGGATTTTACACGTATGTTGTTCTTGAGCGTTTACCGGGATGGCCCGTTTTTTACATCCAAGAAGGAAGGGTTTTGTTCAAGCTCGACGAAAACATGTAATATATATATATTCATTTTTTTGCCTAATTAAATTAAAATAGTCTTAACTTAATTATTACATTATATGCATAAATGTTAGGTTTCAGTATATGGCTGTGTCTGATGCGAGGCAAAGGTTTATGCCAAAGAATCAGGATCGTAGAAACGGGCAGGTGCTTGGTTACAAAGAAGCTGTCCTCATAACGAATGCAACAAATCCCGCGTTCAACGGCGAGGTAAATTATTTTTTTTTTCTTTTTTTTTAAATCATTGTTATTCACACTAATTAAGCCACTAATTGCATTCAAATATTGCCTCTTAAATTAAATTTGAGTTTATCGGATATTTTACGACCTAATTAATTGAATTCGACACCCCTTTGTTATATCGAATTATCGATTGTTAAAAGTATTCTTCATTTATTAATATAATTGGCTTGCTCTTTTAACCCTAGTTTGAAATTAATTTTGAAAATTAAAGTATGTATTAATTTAAATATTTAATTGTGTAAATTACATGTACATTATATAGGTGGATGATAAATACCTATACTCAAATGATAACAAAGATATAAAGGTTCATGGATGGGTAGGCAGCAACCCTTCATTAGGGTTTTGGATGATTACACCATCCAATGAATTTCGGACAGGTGGACCTCTCAAACAAGATCTCACCACTCATCTCGGTCCAACTGTTCTCCATGTAAGTACAGTACAATCTTTGGTGCAAGTACAGTACAATCTCGATAAATTAATATTTAATATTAAATAATTACAGTATTATTTAATATTTCATTTTTAATTACTAATGAGCTTAATTATGTGTCTGAAAAAAAGTATTTTACTAGCACACATTATGCTGGAGAAGTTTTAGCAATCAAATTTAAAACTGAAGAATACTGGAAAAAAGTTATTGGACCGGTTTATATCTATCTCAATTCTAATGATTCCGCAAACGCCGATCCTTCCCTACTTTGGATTGATGCCAAACAAAGGGTACGAACGATGTTTATTTATTTTAATTATATTCATCAAAATCGAAAAAAAATAGTTAAAAAATCACAATTTTAATATATATTTTGAATGATTAATTATCAGATGGAAAAGGAGGAAGCTAGTTGGCCATATGAATTCGCACTTTCGGAAGACTTCGTTAAATCGAATCAAAGGGGAGCTTTAAACGGTCAATTACTTGTTCGCGACTGGTAATAATTAATCATTTGAGTAACAATTGAGACGTAAAATCGAGTTTAGATGCTTTGTCAATATTTAAATCTTGTATACATATATAGTAATATAATCTAATTATATGTAGGTTCGTTAGCAAGCAAGATGTGCCCGGTGCATCGGCTTATGTGGGATTGGCACTACCCGGAGAAGCTGGCTCGTGGCATTACGAAAACAAGGCTATTTTTTTAATCTAATATTTTATTTTTCTGGAATAAAATTTCCAAGACAAATTCTTGAAAATAAACAAAAAAAAAAAAAAAAGATTCTTGACTTTAGATTTCCTTTTTTTTTTTTATTTCAGGGCTATCAATTTTGGACAAAAACAGACGAAAACGGGAGTTTTTCGATTAAGAATGTGATACCCGGAAATTATAGTTTGTTTGCATGGGTGCCTGGATTCGTCGGAGATTACAAACATGCTTCAAACATAACTATCACACCTGGATCAAATATTCAAGCAACTAATGTTGTTTTTGTTCCTCCGAGAAACGGTTCAACTTTGTGGGAAATCGGAATTCCCGATCGAACGGCTGCTGAGTTTTTCATACCCGATCCTAGCCCTACATACAAGATGTACCCATACAAAGAACATGTTGAAAAGTAAACTACTAAATTCAAACTAATTAAAATTATTAGTACATACACAAAAAAAATTATTGTTAAAAATTATATATTTATCGTCCTTAATTCGTTTGTGATTAAATTACAGGTGGAGACAGTACGGACTTTGGGCACGTTACAAGGATATTCATCCGGTGACGGACCAAGTTTACACCGTGGGATTAAGTGATTATAAAAGGGACTGGTTTTTCGCGCATGTTCCTAGGTAAGAAATTTAATTAGTGTCTTAATTAAAATACATGTTATTGTTCGTATTATTATTAAATCGATTTATTTTTGAATTAATAACGAAAATATATTGTTGATTATTAGGAATGTGGGACCTAAATTGTATAATGCAACAACATGGCAAATAATATTCGAAATCAAGAATATTACTAAAGGAAGTTACACTCTTCAATTAGCACTCGCATCAGCTAATGGAGCTGAAGTACAAGTAAGCCACTATAATCTGTTTGTCGAAATTTCAAAAAATTCAAATTTTGGAAAAAAATAAAAATTCATTCCAATTCAAAATTTTGATTTAATTAGGATAATATTTTGATTTTCAATTCGAATTGGAAATATATATACACAAATATTTGAAATTTTCGATTTCCAATCTGATTTTAATTTATCAAAAAATTCCTAATTTTTTTTCCTCCTAAAACACACATATAAATAATATTTATTTATTTTACTTAGTGCAAAATTGATTTAATGTTTAATTATATATTTTTATTTATGGCTCATCTTGTAGAGTCAAAAGTGTATAAAATATATTTTCTCCTTTGCTATTTCTCATTCACAAAAGGCTAATTTCGATCTGATACATTTGCTATTTATGATATTACAATTCTCCCTATGTTTTTTTAGCTTATATTGTTAATAATGACAATTTTATAATTACAGGTACGAGTGAATAATCCCGAATCAGAAGAATTATTTACGACAGGAGGGATAGGGAAGGACAACACAATAGCAAGACACGGAATTCACGGGCGGTACCATTTATACAGCATCGGCATAGCGGACACACATCTCGTCGTTGGAAATAATACAATCTTCTTAACACAAACAAGAAAACTATCGCCCTTTAGCGGAGTCATGTACGATTATTTACGTTTAGAAGGTCCCGCCTAAATTATATATATCTTGATAATTAATATATGATTTGTTTTTATTTTTCCATATATAATCTGCTCTGCGATATTTGTAGTCTTACAAAATTTGGAAGAGTGTCGTTTGTTCTTTGATGGGCTTTTTATATAGATTTTATGTAACATCTTATAAAATACTTGAATTATTTTTTACTTTATTTATTTGTAACAAAAAAGAAATCAAAAGTATAATTAAAGTTGAATAACTATATTATATGTCAATCGTGCAGCGTAAATGGACTTTTTTTTTATTGTTAGAAGTATAAAGTCAATATAGGGTTACAATAATTAAATAGATATGATGAAATCTCTAAAAATAGATTTCTAAGCTTTTTAGCCTTCTTGTATTTTTCTTATTTTTTAGGGACTATTAGTGAGAACCCCTCTAGCATTTTGTTAACACTTAACAAAGATGGGTCCAGCTCCATTTTCTTTATTAGTGATAGGTCCAACTTTTTTTAATTCTCAAATTTACCCTTTCTTACTATTCACTCTCCACTACTTTAATATCTATTTCATTTTTTTTCTTTTAATTATAATATTCGTTTATTTATTTAAAAACTTTAAAAAAAAAATCAATTTTATTATTTTTATTTTTCAGTTTTTGTTTTCATATCGATTATAAAATTCAGAAAACAGCTATAAAAATTTCGGAATCTACTATTTCCGAAATCAACTATTTTCAAAATCAACTATTTCCATAAATCAACTATTTTCGAAATTAACTATTTCCAGAATCAACTATAGATTACTGAAAACAACTGTTTTTTTTTCGTTTTTTTTTTTCGAACCAACAATCACAAAAAATAGTTATTTTTAATAGCAGGTTTACTAAAATTATATCAACTACAAATTAACGAAAATCAACCATAACAAATTGAAATCAACTAAAAATTTATCAAATCAACTTTAAAATTATCTAAACCAACTATAAAAATCGAAAACAACTATAATTTATCTAAATCAACTATAAAATAAAAATCTCAATTTAAGAGATTAAACAACTATAGGTCAATCCAGATGCTGGACATTACAGTCCCATATCCATCGAGAAAGGGCTATATCTCCACCGACCATGTGTTGAATCCGAAGGCTGTGAGGGTGATTTGTTCCGTCTCCACCGTCTCAACCACTCCCCAACTTCTACATGTCAATGTCTCTCAGGTGAAGAAAGGACGCAAATCCCTTGCGTCAACCGTCAATTACCACTCTGCCACATCAGATCGCCGCTGCGGATATCTAAAATGGTTTCAGAGAAAATTAGTATAAAAAATCCACTACACTCTACAATATATCGAAAATCAACTACAAACCACATTTTTATCGAAAATCATTAATACAGATCTGAATGGAATCTGAAAATATGATCTAAAATGGGCAAAATATAGGATGAATTAACTGCTTTGCTCCGATGAGTTTTTTATTACCGGTTTCATCCTCGGGCTGAATGAATCGACAAGAGCCGCGACTCGAGGCAATCGGAGAGCGATTGTTGCCTACTGAATGACGGCTTCTGGTATTTGGGGAGACTCAAAAAGAGTAAAGGATTAACGAGGGCATTGTTGGGCGGTGATGACGGTGGTGGATGGAGGGCAGCGACGAGGACGGTGGACGGAGCTAGGGCAGTGACGACGGCGGTTGACGGAGGGTGGCGGTGGGCATATGAGATCTGGTTTGGGGTTGGGGATAGAAACGAGAGATATGGTGGCTGGAGAGAAAAAAGTAGACGAAGATGAGAAATAGGGTTTGGTGATTTTATATGATAACTAAGGGTAATATTGACATACCACTTAAAATTTGAATTTATGTTAAATTAAAATATAAAATAAGGGAGTTCTCACTAATATGTAAAATGAAGTTATATCCATCCTAATATATTCAAATGTATTGGGGGGTTTTCACTAATTATCCCTATTTTCTATGTTATTTATTTGGGCAAATTATGGCCATCCCTAAGTTATGGTCAAATTACGAATAACCCCTTTTTGTTTGAGTAATTACAGCCACCTCCTCAATTATGTATTATCTTACGAAAATACCCCTCCAGAGGTAAATTTAGGAATCTTAAATCGGTAAAACCAAACCGAAACTTCGGTACGCCAACATTTCATACCGTTTACCGAACTAAATATACAATTTGGTTCGGTAAATAACCGAATTACATAAATTTTATGTAAAACTATTTAAAAGAAGGGATGACTGTAATTACCTAAACAAGAGGTCTTTTTCGTAATTTGACAATATTTCTTCTACAAAAGTCTTGCTAAGCTAATTAATTTTGATTTGACTCAACTACCAATTTTCACACCTAAATATAGTCAAAAATAATTATTTTTTACTATTTTTATAACAGGTGGACAGATTTTTGAACACACTACTCTAATATGTACAACTTACCCCAGCAAAAATTTGTTTATACTTCAACATATCACCTTTAGCACATTTCTACTACAACAATATTTATATTTATAAACAATAAATATAATTCATTATGTTTCACATACATAATTATAAGTTTAGGAAATATTACTTTGCATTTGATATACAAATAATTTTGAAACATATTTAGTAATTGTAATATATTGATCTACATCTATTCTCTATTTGAATTTTTATATATATATTTTTCTGTTGTTATTATTTGATGAACTAATTCAATTATATATACATGTGTGTGATTTTTTATTATTTACTCATTTGTTTATAATGTATCAAAATAATTATATAATAGAATATTTCATCCAATAAAAAATAGTTTCCGTTAATGTTATAGCTGAATTAAGATAATAGATTATTATTGAGATTTGGTCTTTTAAGTAATTTCACTATTAATTGAGTTTGATTTTGTTTATACAATAATAAGTTGAAATATAATAACAGTCAATGCTAAATATATTTCAAATTCAAAATAACTCATAGATATGTGAAGATTAATTATAAAATATCTGAAAATTCCACACATCTCTGAATTTTGAAATTAATTTGACCGAAAATAATACAAAATTAAGCTTACATATTTTTCCTTCAAAATTAAGCTTTCTTATGTAAGGGGGTCGAATTTCGACTCTGATATAGAGCAAAAATATCAATATTGTGTTATTTTGAGTTTTGATTAATGATTTGTTCTATGTTACGCGTGACGAATTTCATCAGATTATATCCTACTATATGCGTCTATAATTTATACATTTTATAAAGAAACATATATCTAAAATAAATAATAATAAAATAATTTGTATGACTAGTTTAATTAGAGTTTTGTTTATATAAAAAACAAGGTCAGTGTAAATTTGTATAACCACAATTCTTAGTAAATTTGTATAACCACAATTTACTAAGAAAAAAGATATTTTTAGTGTAAATTAAATGGGCAACCCATAAAGAATTTTCTTTTTTACCGAAATTCAGTAAGACGCGATACAGTAGACCATCGATAAATTAATACCCAATAAAGTCAAAAGCCGAAAAGAAGAAGGAAAAAAAAAAAAAGCAAAGAAAAGTAATTCTAGTAAATTATTTACATTAACAAAAAAAAAATGGTAAAACCTTGGGCTAATTATGTTGAATGAGCATAGGATTAGTATCATCATCAACAGAAACAGAATTCCTCTTGATGAATTCAAGACAATCTGCTATTGCTTCTGAGCTGAATGAATTCGAATGCTCCATTATTGCTACTCTTCTTTTATTATTATTATTATTATTTTTTGAATAATAATAATAATTATAATAAACAAATTCGACGTCATCGATTCTCTCTTTCTTCCTTGTTCCGAGGTTTCTTGTGATCAGCTTTCTCACACCATTCTTGTAATAATTCTTCCATCTTCTCAATACTCTTACAATATTCATGAAATTTGTGCGCAGCCTCTGCACACAAAATCTTCTAGGGTTTAGCTTTATTCCTCCGCAGCATCTTTTGCAGCTGGTTTTCTCGTAATTTCTTCGACTATTATAATAACTGCTTTCCATATGTATATATATTTTTCAGACAGATGAAAACTGTGTCTGCAAATTGAAACTCTTTGTTGTATGTAATGTATATATAGAGGGGGTGGGAAATTAGAAATGGTCTTTTTTCTTAGGGAGGAAGGTAGTGATTTTTATTTTTGTGTACACCCCTCAACTATGTACTTATTCCAATTGTGCCTCAAATACATTTTTTTTTCTTACAATAATATCCCTCTAGTATCAAAAGTCAAACATCAGTTACTTGTCAATACAAACTAAAAGAAACATGTAAAACAACACAAACGTAATTTCCACCGTATATTTTTACGAGCATCGAACGGTCGGTCACATGTACTTGAGATTACAAAAACGGACAAGGAAGAGGATAAACCCCCGATGTACGTGTCTTATTCAAGAGCACAAAAAATATTTTAAAAATAAATCTTTTGATGAAATGTGTATATAGACATAGTTCTGAAATTGATTGAAGGAAATGAAATCAAATTGATCGAACTCTGTAATATTTTGTAAATTTATTTGGCAATACGAATTACACATTTTGAGCGACTTATTGTCTTTTGTAGTTTTACATTGATTTGGCAGTTAGTGCTACTATTTTTTGTAATTTAGTAACTAAAATACTGAATTTAATAATTTGCATTTGAAAAGTTTTTTTCTATAATAGTTGGTATATTTATAACTTCAATTCAACTATCCGTTAGTGTGATGTTAACTTTAGGGGAAACTCACAATAAGAAATACTTTAGAGGAAGTTTTGAAACTTTTGATACCTTAGGGGGTTTTTAATAAATAAAAAAAAATCAAGTTTTTTTGTTGGGTCGTACGCGGTGCTAGCATTCAAAAGAACGTGAGAATTGTCAATTGTCATACTTTTACATATTATAATAATAATATTATATTGTTGATGGAAGATTTTGTCTTTATTGCAAATTGCAATTAATTCATTATTATATTTATATTAAGTGGAGATATTGTGAAAATTCTGCGTAATTCAGGGGGGGACAACGAGACATAGACAAATTAAATAAAAATGGGAAATATTTAATTAGGTGTCATGTTCCAACAATGTTTCACCTAATTTTGATTTGTTCTAATATTTTATTACACACAATGAATTTGTATATAAGTTTGAAAAAGTTTGCAGGGGTAGTCTGTAATTTTATGAAATTTGTGTGGAGGAATTTGAGTTTGGTGTTTTTATGGAATTGTAGCCATAAATTCGTCTTTATTAGTTATGGCGTAATTTATTGGGCATCGATTCGAATTTCGACCGACTGCTTAAATAAATTATGACTTTCTTCGTTTCAAATTATTTGTTGTTTGGGTAAATTATTTTCCTTTTCTTTTTTTTGCCCTACAATCCGTGGGAATTGGCAAAATTGCCCCTTCATTCTCACGTGTGTATCGCACATGTGCAACTTCCGAAGTTTTTTAGCCAATAATAGACTTTTAAGTAATCGGTGCTACGAATTAGTAAGTCCAGATATCATCGTGTAATGTTTTTGTTTGGGTGGCAAAGCGCAAAACGGGCCTAAATACGAGGGCGAAAGTGCACTTAACCCTATTTATATTAGTTGTATGTATATCAAATTTCACAAATTAAAAAAAAAAAAAATTGCAAGAACTTCTAACAATAAGTCAATAACAATAAAAAGAAAAAGTGCCTTAAAAAAATACAATAAAATAAGTCCATTTACGCTGCACGATTTCAATATATGATGATTATTCAACATTATTTACTGTTGGCAATTACGACTAATTAATCATACCTTTTGAATTTTTTTTGTTGCGGCTGATTATCAAGTTCACATTTGGTAGGTCACATTTCAAAACACCTTTACTTGCCCAATTTATATTTATTAATCATTTTTATCATTATTTATTGCAGGTAAGAGAATTAGGATAATTTATCCCACTGACAATTTGAATATGTGGTCAGTGTTAAGTAGGGGTGGTTTCGGTACGGTTGCCGAATATTTTGATCAATACCGTGTACCTACCGAATTATATGGTATTGAAAAATTCGATACCGTTACCGTACCAACAAGTGCGGTATACCGTTATTCGGTATACCGTTACTTTCGGTACGATATATCGGTATATGGTACTCTACCGTTAATTTTAATTTGTTATACTTTGAAGACGATCTTTATAAAAACACAATACTTAAAACAAGAACATTGGCTATTTATATAATCTTATTCAATTTTTCAAAGCTCCTTCAATATTTATCAAACTTTAACTTCATTGATTTAGTGACACCTTGCAAAATAAGATTACTATAACTTCATTGATTTAGTGACACCTTGCAAAATAAGATTACTAGAGTCATGATCTTTTTTTTTTCAATCTCAATTTGCAACTCTATTATTTCAGTGAAAACCAAATGGGATGTACGTTTTTTTGTTGCACTAAGCTTCAATGTTTTCTCATAATTTTTTAAGAACTGTATTTTAACTTTTTTAAGTTTCGACCTATTTATTTTATGTAGTAATTTTAATTTTAGTTAATTATTAACCAATATAAAATAAATATACATTAATTAAATTATAAAATTTAAATTTGTGGTACGGTACGGTATTCCCATGGTACTGAAATACAATACCGCTACCCTACCATATAATAGTGGTACGGTACTAATACCGTACCAAATGTAATGGTTACCGAAGTTTTGGTAATTTTTCGGTATTGTTTGGTAGGTATACCGTGGTATTCGGTAGGCGGTAATTATTTTCCAGCCCTAGTGTTAAGTGTTCATTCTGACATTTTATTTAGTGTTAAACACATGTTATCTATCACCTATATACTATTATCGATCATCTTACCAGTCAACTCTCACATCTCTAACGGTGTCAGTTTCTTTAATGTAATTATCTTTTTATTCTTTTTTTTTATAGAAAATAGCAGTGTTCTAAAAATCGGCCGAGGCGGCCGATTAATCGGTCTCCGAGGCGGAGGCGGTCCAAAACCTTTACGATTTTAGTGTAAAGGTTTGAAAAATCGGTTTTTTGACTGTGAGGCAGTTTTAGGCGGTTTGAGGCGGTTTGAAGCGGTTTGAGGCGGGTTGAGGCGGTCAAATATTTAAGGCGGGTCAAACTTCGATGGCAAAAATCGGTCAAAAATCGGTTTTTTTGTTTTTTTTTTAAATTCAAAAAAAAAATTGGGATTTTTATTAAAAAGATGAGTTTATGCTTTATTTTGTTTATGTTAACTGATATTGTTCTAATGATGTATGCTAGGAATGTTCAAGAATAAATGAAAATTCAAAAAAATTGCATTTTTATTTATATTTTATAAGGATATTTATGTATTATGATCTTATTCTTATTAAACTTTTATTATGTTATTAGGATATATACATGATGAAGATATAACTATGTTTAAATTTATTTTTATATATGTTTTGAGTATTAATAAATAATTTTTAGAAATATATTATATTAAATTTTAAAAACCGCTTTATTTCCGATTTATCACCGATTAATCACCGCCGCACCGATTAATCGTGAGTCGGTCCCTGACCGCCTCCGACCCGATTACCGCTTTTTACAACCTTGGAAAATAGCTATCTTTTGACTTTGTCACTTGGGGAAAACAAAAAAATTCTAACACATGCAACATAACAAAAGTGGATGTGTATTTGTTTGTGTGTGTATGAGTATATTTCACCCGACGTAGCATAATATAAACTGTAGATATATAAGAAGTTGAATTATAAAGTTGAAAGTTTTGGGAATTGAGATATCTCGGGATGTGGTGCCAGGACATATTATTAATTCATAATTAGTTAGTCGATAGAGAATTGATCCATCTCATATTATAATCACGATTAATTAATGAGATACAAGTAACCGAGCGAAACCAAAGTCTAAGGTAAAACTCGATCATACAGCGTAATATCATTAGTTATGCCCACTATATTCTTAGGTGGACTCGAGTTGTACCACCATCACGCATGGTTAGTTTAATATATTTTACATCTCTAGTGCAGTTTGCGAACTATTAAACGAAAGCATATTTTACAGCGCACTTTAAATTGTCAAGAAAAAAAAAAGGAAAAGTTTTCAAGTATCTTATAAGATGTTATATAAAATCTTGCAAGACTACAAGTATTGGAGATTATGGAAAAATAAAAAGATCATACATTATATCATATATATAATATATGATTATATATATGATATAGATCTTTAATTTATTATATGGAAGAACATAAGATAGACCCTCAAATTTTAATTTAGGCAGGCCCTTCTAAACGTATATAATCGTACATGACTTCGCAGAAGGGCGATATGCTTCTTGCCTGAGTTAAGAAAATGGTATTTTTCCCGACGACGAGCTGAGTGCCTGGTATGTCGATGCTGAATAAATGGTACAACCCATGAATTCCATGTCTTGCTATTGCATTGTCCTTACCGATTAATCTTGTTGTAAATAGTGCTGCCGAATTCGGATTATTCACTCGTACCTGGAAATATAAAATTGTTATTATTAACAATATAATTAAGCTAAAAACAATGAGGGTGGAATTGTAATATCATATAAGATGTCCGCGGAATGGGCTAAAAAAACTTGGGAAAATTGTAATTTTCAGTCCTCTAACTTGTCTTTTTTCAATATTAATTAACATCCGAATTCGCTTGAGTCTTAGTATTGTATACTAGGATGAAATAGGCGGACGTAACGGATCGAAATTAGCCTTTTGTAAATCAGAAATAGCAAAGGAGAAAATATATTTTATATAATTTTGACTCTACATGCAACATGATCTATAAAGAAGAAAAAATATATAATTAAATATTTAGTACATTTTGCACTAAGTAAAATAAGTACATATTATTCATAGGTGTAATTTTTGGGTGGAAATGGAACTTTTTGGAATTAGTTAAATAGAAATTAAAATTGGATTCGAAATCAAAAAATTCAATTATTTTTAATATATTTCAAATTTGAATAAAAATCTGAAATAAAAAATTTGAATCGGAATTAAAAATTAAAAAAAAAAAAAAAAAAAAAAACTCCAAAATTTTATTTTTTTCAGATCGAAACCGGAAGAAAATTTAAAAGTTATGTTCCAACTTTCACTCTTAGATGACATAAACAAAGTTAAAGACTTTGCAAAATATATAAATATATATATATATATATATATATATATATATATATATATATATATATATATATATATATATATATATATATATATATATATATATATATATATATATATATATATATATATATATATATATATATATATTAGTGGCTTACTTGTACTTCAGCTGCATTAGCTGATGCAAGTGCTAATTGGAGAGTGTAACTCCCTTTAGCAATACTCTTGAGGTCAAATATTATTTGCCATGTTGTTGCAGCAAATTGTCTAGGTCCCACATTCCTGATGTTCAACAATATATTTTCCTTATTAATTAAATATTATTAAAAAAAATCGATTTAATAATAATAATAATAATATAAACAATAACATATATTTGAATTAAGACACTAATTAAAATTTCTTACTTAGGAACATGCGCGAAAAACCAGTCCTTTTTATAATCACTTAATCCCACGGTGTAAACTTGGTCCGTCACCGGATGAATATCCTTGTAACGTGCCCAAAGTCCGTACTGTCTGAACCTGTAAATTAATCACGAACAAATTAAGGACGATAAGTACGTAATTTAATTCTAACAATAATTTTTTTTTGTACTAATAATTTTAATTGGTTTGAATTTAGTAGTGTACTTTTCGACAGGTGCTCTATATGGATACGTCTTGAATGAAGGGTTAGGATCGGGTATGAAAAACTCGGCAGCCGTTCGATCGGGAACTCCAATCTCCCACAAAGTTGCGCCTTTTCTCGGAGGAACAAAAACAACATTAGTTGCCTGAATATTTGATCCCGGTGTGATAGTTATGTCTGAAGCATGTTTGTAATCTCCGACGAATCCAGGCACCCATGCAAACAAGCTGTAAGTTCCGGGCACTACATTCGTAATCGCAAAATTCCCGTGTTGGTCGGCTTGTGTCCAAAATTGGTAGCCCTAAAAAGAAATTTTATTATAATTATTGTGGTTTTTATAAAAAATAAAAAAAAAAAATCAAGAATTAAGAATTAATGTTGCTTGAATAAAATGCAATAAAAAATCAATTTAATATATGTTTTGTACCTTGTTTTCAAATTGCCATGATCCAGGGCCTCCTTGTGGTGCCAATCCCACATAAGCTGATGCTCCAGGCTCAGCCATCTTATTTTTGTACCTTCAAATCGAAAAATAAATAAATAAACGAACAACCAAAGTAATCGTGTAAAATAATATATATCGTTTAATGTAAGTTTACTACTTATATACCGATATTTAGGTAAAATTTTAGTATGTTCACGGAGCATTCACAATCGAACATTCTTAATTATATTGTTGTTTGAAAAAAAATAATGATAAGTAATATAATTATTATTCCCTAATAGAGATAAAAATCTAGTAATTACATAGATTGACAATAATTAAAATTTAAAAATATAGATTTATGATGTAAAATAATAATTTTAAATAAATTCAACAATTAATTTGTGCATACATACCAGTCATGAACAAGTAATTGACCTTTGACAGCTCCCCTTTGGTTAGATTTAAGGAAATCTACTGAAAGTGGGAAATTATATGGCCAACTGCTTACCTCCTTTTGCATCTGATAATCAATTTCCAAAAACAATAAACTTAATTATTAATTAATAGAAATTAATTAACTTAATTAGGAATAATAATAATGATAATATAATAATTGCAAATTAAATTAATATTTAGTAGTAGTATATATATATATACCCTTTGTTTGGCATCATTCCAAAGGACGGAAGGATTAGTCTTGGCCGAAGGGTCGGAGTTTAGATAAACGAAAACCGGACCGAGAACCTTTTTCCAGTAATCGCCGGTCTGAAACTTGAGTGCAAGATCTTCGCCAGCATAATGTGTGCTAATAAACATCTTTTTTTCCGAAGAAAAAAAATGTAATTTTTCATAATTAACTTGTATTTTTGTTAAAGATAATCAATTAAATTAAACTATAAATCAAATTAAATATGAGAAATTATGTATGTATACTCACAGAAAGTAGGGTTGGTCCAACATGAGAAGTGAGATCTTGTTTGAGGGGCCCACCCGTACGAAACTCGTTGCTAGGCGTTATCATCCAAAACCCGACTCCTTGATCACTGCTTACCCAACCGTGGACCTTGTTATCTTTATTATCGCACGAGTATAAATATTTATCGTCCACCTAATCAAGAAACAAATAAAAATTACCCTAATTAATTATATATTAATGACTAGTCATATATATTTAATGTATGCATATTTTGGATTAGTAATTAATTACCTCTCCTTTGAGCTGGGGATTAGTTGGATTCGTTAAGAGAACAGCTTCCGGATAATCGAGAGGTTGACCGTGACCGGGTATACGGTCAACGGGCATTGGCATAACTCTTTGCCTATCGTCCGACATAGCCATGTAATGAAATCTACGTACATTTGTAGTTTCCGTACATAGTAATAAACATGATTATTAATTTCGAATTAAGCAAGATTAACTTCTTTAATATATGATAATATGTTTTTAGGGTTTACTTGTTTTCTTGAAGCTTGAAAAGAAATCTTCCTTCTTGAATATCGAAAGCAGGCCATCCTTTTAAGCGCTCGAGCACGGTGTACGTATAAAATCCCGGGGAGTCTTTTAGCATTACGAATCTGCTTATCGCGAGTGATAAAATAATTCAAATGTTAATGCAATTTAATTAATTATTGGAAATTAGTTATATACAACAAATAATTCACCTCTTATCGATATTTAAAGGCATTCGTGCACTGCCGACTGCCCATGTTCTAGTGAACGATATCTCCGTTTGATCATTATTTTGAACGATAATCTTATAACTCGTTCCTTCTAGCCTGCACATTCATTAATTAATATTTATATATATACATCAATTTCTACATTTTTATAAATTTAATTTAATAAAAATTATGCAGGATGGAAATTAATTAATTCTTAATTACTTATCCATGCTAGTCGGAGCCCCGGGCTTGTTCCAGATAAGATCCCAATACCTATATCGATTAAGAATTTAGTTAAGTAATTATAATTCCATAATGTAAATGCATTATAGTAAAATAAAAATAGATTTAATTAATATATAAATATTAATTAAATACCCTCTATCATTTTCTTTGTTTTGAGTTTCAAGCAAATTGTCACCCCCTTTGTATGTTACACTGATAACATTACCATCCGGTATTGTCAATAAGACGTTGACAATCCCATTTGTCAACGAAACCTACGAAAAAAAAATCAAAACGAAAAATAAAATAAAATTAGAAGAGATTTAATTAAATATCGGTTGTAAAAAAAATAAATAGTAATTTTTAATTAGTTTTACGGTATGGTTTTGTTGAAGCAAATGCACTCCAGCACCAGCATGGCTTCTTCTGCCTTTCCCATGCTTATGTCTGAAAATGAAATAAATCAATTTCCATGGAATATTCATAATTATATGAAATTAAAAAATATATATATATTTTTTTAATTAAAAGGAGAATTGAAATCTTTATTGCAAATATAAATATAAATCTGTGAACTTACCTATCCGAATTATGAGAATGAGTTGCAATTAGTAGAAAAAATAGCTGCACGATCGCTACAAGCTGCCACGAGAAGATCGAGTTGAGGCCCGATTTTCCCATTAATTAAATTTTTATATATATATCCTGCAAATTAAACAGCAAAAAATTAAAATTACAATTCAACACTAATTATTTTTTTTTTATTTAATTTTAATAGGATATTAAGCTGTACTTACAAGAAAGCACAATATGAACAGATATACAATTTCACTAGGGCTGGCAATTTTCAGCTTTTATAAGTTGCTGATGAGGCAATGAAATTGATTTTGATTTTCAATTATACACTAAAGAGTAGATTTATATATATGGAAAGTGGCAAAATGAATTCATGCAAAAAAATAAATGAAACTGAAGTGATTAATTGAATCAGCTTATTTAGAATGTGTGGGTCAAGTTTTAATTAATGCATAATACAGATTTTGAAATTTTGGATAATTTATATAAAAAAGAACAGAGTGTATAAAAATATGGAATCTTCTTTTTGTGACAAGTGAATTGATATTGCTACATTTACGTCTTTATTAACTTTCAATAAATTAAAAATAAATTAATTAATTAATTAAAAAAAGCTTATTGATTGAGAACTTTGTTGACATAAGTATAAATACCTATTTATATGGCAAAATATAATTATCCCCACCAATTAACTAATTTAAACATTTACCCTATTTCTAATTGTTGCCAATTGTTAACCACTGCTGGTGAGCCGTCGTTGACCGACAATTAATGTTGTATGATTTTTCTTAATCTACGATACTCGCCACCCACCGTCGTTAAAGAACTTATTTATTAATAAAAACATCATACGATAGTAAGGATTCCAACCCAAATCTATAGAAATACAAAGTGTTATGTACCACTAAGATGGTGTTTGCAAACGCTGTTACAAAGTGATTATGAGTTTTTTTTATTTCAAAGTTCAGTTTTTTTTAAAACATTAAAAAACTCATAATCACTTTGGAAAAACGCTTGCAAAAACCACCTAAGTCAATTGTGCTTTTGTATTATAAATCAAGTATTATTTTATTTATATCAACTCCAGAGTAAATATAGGTCAACACAGTATAGTGGCTCGGTATTTTACTGTTGACCACGACATAATATTAAATATAATATCGGTATTTTAGTATAACAAACTAAAATGGGCCTTATTAACAAATTAAACCCACGAATTGCAATGCCCAATGGGCCTATCAACAGTATAGTAGCAGGCCCACTTCAAAATGATTAAATGAGCAATGTAAAACAACATTGTAACGCTATGGTTATTTCTATGTTACACTTAATGGAGATTACATCGGACGATTCTTTTAACAGTTGATCTACACGCACTTATGTGGGTATGTGTTTGTTTATATTTATATGAATAATAAAGATCTACCCAATATATTTTATCCAGTGTAGCATAGAATAGACAGTACTGTATATGCATATGCAATTAGTAACTAACAACTTTGACTCTTTGACTAATTTTCATATTATATTTTTCACCAAATATTTTTTTTTCTTGTATGAATTTTCATTTAACCGCTAGGATATCTACCTATATTAAAATTACAATAAAATATTAATTGCATTTATCAATTTTGCCCCTCCTTATCGCGCTTATATATGTTCCTGTAAACACATATATGACAACGGTATACGGTATTTTTGTATTTATTATTTATATATATATATATATATATATATATATATAAAATCTATGTATATTTATTGAATTTTTTAATATGTGTACAACCACCCAAACGACATATAATATGGTACCGATGGAGTAGTAATTTATCAATTTATCACCCCTGAGTGGGGACCGAGAACAATTATTTACACGTTAATCGAATATTAAATTACCTAGGTTCTATTGTTATTTGATACTCCCTCCGTTCCAATTTAAATGTCGTTTTTTTGTTGTTTTGCACATATTAAGAAAATTAATAAATGTGCATAGATTATAATAAAAAAAAACCATATAAAATTACTAAAATATCCTTGACACTAATTGTTTCTCAACTAATTAATTAGGAGTGAATAAGGGTAAAATTAAAAATAATACAATTAATGCTTTATTGAAAATTTAAAATAACGAATAATTTGGAAACAAAAAACACTCTAAAAAACATATAATATGGGAAAGAGTAAGTATTAAATTTTAATAGTAAATTTCATGGTCAATGGTGAGAGAATAAAAAGATGGATTAAAGTTAATTATGAGAATATAAAAAGCATGATTAAATGAAACTCCATGGTTATGTGTTAATGGATAAGTTAAACAAATGATTAAAGGGTGAAAATGAAATTGAATGAAAGTGCCAAGCACGTGCAGACATGCAGTTGGCGACTAATCCGAGGAAGTTACCCATCCATCACTGATTTCTTACAACAACTTCTACTACTTCAGCTTTTCAAAAATCCAGCTTCTCTCTTTATTTTCCCCCTTTTTCTTTTTTACTTTTTTTCTTTTCTCTTTCTTGTCTATCTATATAAACCGGTGCACAACACTTGTAGACAAATTTGTGGTTTAACCTTAAAATAATTATAAACTTAAGGTCATGTTTGGCTAAGTTTATAAGTCTTTAAAAAAAGTTTACAAAATTCTTCCCAAGTATTTGGTGAGTTTTTAAGATTTTTTTGAAGTACATCAACCCCACTTTTTTATTTAAGATATTATAATTAGGTGGTGTTTGCAAAAGCTTATTTAAAAGTAGAAGTTATGGTGTTAGTTAATTTGATTTTAAGTGTTTATTTCTAAAAGTTAAGGGTACAATTTACTGGAAAATAAACTTAAATAGAAAAAATAAGGTCATGTGTGCGCTTAATAAATTATAGCCTAAAATTGCTTATTTTAAGATAAGTAAAAGCAAAATTTCATTTTGCAAACACTTAAAAATAGATTATGAGCCAAAAAAAAGCTCATAATCTATTTGTAAAAGCTTTTGCAAACACCACCTTAGTAAAACTAGCTTATAAGTTCATTATTCAAATACTTTAAAAATTAATTCTAAAAATAAGACGTAACAGCTTATCAGTTCTTAAAACACCTTATATAAGAGTTTATCAGTTGTTTAAAGTAATCTTAGCCAAACGAGTTCTAGGTTGGTTTGTTGGTTTCATAACACGACTCATATGTAATTGGGTTATCGGTCAATTGATCCACATTCGACCCAATTTTCATAGTCAATAACCCATAATTAACCGATCCATATAGTAGGATATATAATTTTAATCCACCAATATATAAATGGATCGTTCGATGATTTCTCATTCACTTAATAGTCGGTTGGCAGATAATTATCCGACAACCAACTTTTTAATTATAAATTTTATTTTATAAATAATTAATTGTAACTAATTTAACAAAATAATGATACATAAAAGAGGTTAAAACTAAAAAAAACCTCAATACAAATTTATAGAGCTCTATATTATGTGTAATGTGTTATTATACGTAGATCGACGGTGCAGAATCAGCTCAAGTATGTGCAGCATCTACATACCATTGATGTTAACGGAATAAATTTATAAAAAACGAAAACCACCAAAATAACGGAACGGACGGCTTTAATAAAATTAAATCTGTAACGTCTCCACCTTACCTATCCCGTAATTCATTGTCTCTTCATGTGGGCCCCCACTTGAAGGCTCTCCAAACAACGTTGACGTGTGATAGCTCGATGCGGGCCTACCTCTTCGTTTGCGCGTGTATTCCACATTCTGCAATCGACGCTTATGAATTGGAAGGTGGTGAGGAAACAAGATTGGAACGCGTGGGTGAGTTAGTTGACCATCACCGTGCTGCTCATGTGGGTTATGGGCCAATAAAAAATGTAATTTTCCGGAATATAGAATTTGAGGCCACGTCAGAGCTTTTTCTCACACACTATTTTTAGAGACCGTGTTGAAACACTCAACCACTACCCCAAAAATGGAGCATATAATTTGGGGTGGGAATTGAAATCAAAATTTTCGAATTCCGCCGATTTCGATTCGAGATTGTTCGAGCTTGAAATTTTATTTTTTATTTCGATTTTGAAGTTTCGATTCGATTTTTTCGAATTTATTTGGAACGAAATTAAAATTACATATAAAATTACTGGAAATTTCGATTTGGATCTAATTTTAGTTCGAATATTTGAATAATTTTTTGAAATATATAATATAGTTTTATGATATATTTTCTAATTTCATAATATAACTTATGCTATATTTTATATGAAAAATATATATATTCATGGGTCAAAACAAGTAAAACTTTAGAAAAAACTAATTGGTCAGAAATCTACTGTTGCCTTTTTCCATATCTATATATATATATATATATATATATATATATATATA